AGCTTTGATCCTAAATAGGTTTGGTGTTTGAGATGATGTTCAGAAATGATAACACAAATGTTTTCATTCCTCTGTAATAACAGAGTGTGAAAATGTAATGTGTCTCTCCGGGGAGCATGCTGCCTCGGGGAATCCTGAGGATATAAACACTCTTCCTTCTGCCTCAATAAGAAATTACTAAATTCTTTCTTAAAACAGACATTGACAAGCATACTTGCATTTAACCTGTAAAGCATTAAAACTAGGGCTGTCAAACGATTACAATTTTTAATCAGATTAATCACAGTTTAAACATTAATTAATCATGATTAATCACCATTCGAACTATGTCCAAAATATGCCATTTATTTATGTATATTGTTGTGGGAATGGAAAGATAAATGAAAGAAGGCGGATATATCCATTTCACATACAGTATCTATGTTTATTATAACATTTGTCTGCGTGTCAAAATGAAAGACAACCCACACACCTATCAATCATCAAACCGTGGGGTCTTAATTCATTACGTGTTGATTTCTATCAACGGGGGAGTACTTCAGGAAAGTCGACAGAGGGGGGGCGGCTAGTGGAGTACTTTGTGACCACAGAGTGTGAACGTTGTGATCAGCTGTTTTAGCGCAGTTCTCCAGTGAAGGGGGGGGAGTCTCCCTCCGCAGCCGGTTGGCGTAGTTTTGGCACAATTCCGTTGTACAGACCGACGTTAACAGCAGCCCTGTCTGTGCACACGGAGACCGACTCTGTCGTCCGGTGATCTAACCGCCTTCTGGAAAAGCTTCACAAGTACGTCGGTACGCAAATGCGCTTTGTGACACAAGTGACGGTACGCATTTCAGATTATGCACATAACCTGCGTATACCAGTTATGTGCACCCCTGTACTACAGCAAAAGTTTTCTCCGTCGGGACTTCCTGCAACAACACCACGCCGTTATCTTGATTCTTATTGGCCAGAAGACATTATCAAAGATGTTCTATTGAGAAGACGATCATTACGTGACAAAAGTTTTCAAAACCGTGGCTACTGAAATCAATCTTACTAACTGCTGTCTGTGCAATTTACTCCGCGCAAGTTGGCAGACTTTGTTTTGCTTACTTTAACATCATTTTTCATGGTGGGGCTAAGCCATTTCTTGGTATGGGTGTAGCCTACCCCAGCCATACCCTGGCGCTGCCACTGGTGGCACCTATGGGGCGGGCCATTCTGCACATGCGTTAAATGCGTTAAATATTTTAACGCAATTAATTCAAAAAATTAATTACCGCTGTTAACGCGATAATTTTGACAGCACTAATTAAAACACATATAAAACATCTATGTTTTTCATATTGATTATGTGTCTGAGATATTGTGCTCTGCATCTGTAAGGTAGCAACAGTTAGTTCTGAATCTGCGGAGACAAGCACTGAGAAAATGTATGAAAGCTCCATACAATGTCAAAAGATAACAAACTCCAACCACTAATTATACCTATAATAGTTTCTTGTTGACAGCACAGTTAATACCTGTCAAAACAAGCGCTTCTTTGAATATCTGCCTAACTCAACAATTAATGATAATGTCATACTAAATGTGTAACACACTTTGAATTAGGTCATTTTTAGTGTTCTAAAATCTCAGTTTTCATGAGAAATATTTGGAGTTTCAAATGAAACTGTGACTGAAGTAATGTATTCTTCAGCTCTCTACTCAACCACTCTGAGAGAAATTGTGATTTTCATTCCACATGGCATGCACAGTGTATGTGGCCAGATTTGGCATGTTGCTATGACTATGAAGTGCTATAGATTACACTTTTACCTCATTCACACCAACGCAACTCCGGTTCAAGCTCCGTGCTAGAGCTTTTCAGGTTCAGAACCGGTTCTTCGGTTTAGCTCCGGCTCTTTTCACACTGCCCAGAGTCCGACTGGTGCTGCGTCATTGCGTCATCGTTTGCGTCATGACGTAACCGTTTGCGTGGCTGCTTCATAAAGCCAAACCGCGCGGAAACCCCTCACAGCTGACACCGACAACAACAACAATGGCCGATTGTGCTCCAGCTTCCTCTGTACCTCTTCAGGAGACCAGATTCCCAGTAGGTAGCTGGTCTCTTCAGTGGACCACTGCTGCTTGTTAAGTTTCTCCATCGTTGTAACTTGTGTACAAACTGGATAAAACGCCGGCTTTTTGTTGTTGTTCAGGAGTTTGTTCCCGCCCCTGCCCCCGCCTCGACGTAAGCGTGACGTATGTGGTGCTTTTGCTCTAGCCGGACAATTCTTTGGTGCTCGAAATGAACCGGATTCCGGAGCTAAGAGGCTGCTCCACTGCGGTGTGAACAGGAAAACCCGGTGCCAGCTCCGAACCTGAAACACCGTTGGTGTGAATGAGGACACATTTTAAGCTTGAAACTAAATGCATATGTAATGGTAATGCACAATCTAACACTCACTATAGTCCTTTTTCTGTGTGAGTAAGCTGTGCAAACTGTATTATTTGGTCAGAATCTGGTTTAATGTCAAATCCGTTCTCACATACGCCTTCGTGTTTTGGTGGATAACAATTAAAATAGCAAGAGAAACTCTAAATAAAGCAAACCCTACAAATAGAAAAATGTACAGTAAAAATCTGTAAGTTTCAAAAGTTGTGTTTGTAAGAAGAGGGTGGAATATGAAAAATATAGACTAAAGAATGTGCAAAACATTAAAAGTACAAGGAATAAAGAATATATGCAATGTAATGATATCATTAACCATAAATAATTGTATTATGTAACATATTGAGTCAGATCCAACTGGGGAATTTATGCAATATGTATGTAGTTATTTTGGTTTTGTTTTCCTGAACTGACCCTTTAAGTCTGGACAGAGATGTATGGAAAAGCCCTATCGGTCTTTGGAGGTGATCTATCATCACAGCACAATGCAGACTGTAAAGAAGCCAAACCCATAATCATCCCCAGACTGGACACTGTTTGTTTACAGTGTAACGCATATCAATAGAAACCGCAGGCGAAGCTTAGAAGGCCGAGTTTCTATAGGAGTGCCCACCTTATCTAATTCATTGTCTGTCAATGGAAAATCAGACAGCCTTTGTCTTGTTTTAAATCAGGCTTGCAGCCATGCCTCCTGTGTGTTAGCAGCACATAAATCAGAACCCAATAAACAGGCAGAAAATAGACACAGGAAGTGTGCACACATTTCATCCCCGTTCTAACAATGGAGGCTGCGCAGCACGGCCATCAGACCGGACCTTGAGCCTGGTCAAGCATGAGGTGTTGACCCCCGGAGCGTCTTGAAGGACCCTCATCTTCCTGCCGCCCGCTCTCGCAGCGCTCCTCCCTGCATCGTCCCAGGAGGACGACAGACCACACGGACAGGATAGGACTCCGCAGTCCAGGCAGGAAAGGAAAAGTATGGGGATATCCTGTCTTTCAGAGGCTTCTCCCTGCGTTTAGGGCCCTCTGCGACATAGATAGAGACGCCTGCTCCTCCTGAGGTCTTGCAGGACATGGAGACTCACTTCTGTGCGACAAAGGGGATAACACCATGCTTGAAGCAGACATAGTGGCAAACAGGTGACTCAAACACCTGAGGTGACAAGTCAGATGACTCTTTTCCTCTCCTCACTCTCTCTCCTGAGATGGCAAACATTTCAAAGGCGTTCACACAAGACGGCCATCGTTAGTGGAGACACGTCGTTTCCGACAGCAGAAAGGAGCGGAAGTGCCCAAGCTTTTAGGGTGACTCCGGATCTTGGGTTTTGTGAGTCTCGGAGAAGATCATCCTCTTCACAGAGCACAGAGTGTCCCTTCATTCCCTCCTCTATCCTCTCCATTGTGCATCCTTCCCTCCCTCGAGCCTAAATGGATGCCCTGTCATCTGGAGCAGGAGCGAGCCAGTTCAGAAGCTCAGCTGCACTCACTTAAGCATCACAGGTAGAGATATCTGCACAGAGGAGCACACATGCAAGAGATTACGCAAGAACACGACCATGGGAGGCTGTGTGGCGCATGATGCATTGATTTAGACAATCACTGTAGTGAAGAGCGTAGCGTTAAAGTGTAGCTTTCATCTTAAAGTGATCATTTAGGGTTGAGCAGACTTTCTAAACTGTGAATGATGCAAATGTGGAATGTTTGGTGCAGCAATTTCCCTGAATTCAAGACAATAAAGGAAAATGATTTTTGCCAATTCTCCTCTGTTATTGCAGCCACATCTTAAAGGTCTCCAACAACAACAACCTGCAGCCACACACAGACTCTCTCTGTGTTTCTGTGTCTTTTAATCACATCGTGTTGATGGTTGTGGATTCTGAAATGTGTAACCTCAATTTCCCCTCTAGACACGTTGTCAGACATTAAGAATTTGTATTCAAAGACAAACGAATGTCATGTAATCTCTACTTTGAATACATTCAAGTTGAGCTTTAAAATAAAGACCCTTTATGAATATTTTAACTCTGTTCTATAATACGGGACACTTTTACATTTTTGATTACAGACAGCTGTCATTCACTACACCCCCACAAAGTGTCACAACAACACATGGAATTATTAAAACAAATAAAATGTAATGACCATAGACTGTATATATAAAGGTAATGACCCAACATGTTTTTGAAATGTACAAGATGACATAACTGTGAGTAACTGGAATGCATTTTTGGAGTTAAAAAAGTGAACCATTTTAACCCCTGATGTATAAACCCACACACAGAAGCACACAGATGACTCTTTGCATGACATCCTCCTGACAGGTGGCATGTTGAAAGGAGGCCCAGAAACCCAGAGACAGGCTTATGAATACTGAGTAAGCTATGTACAACCCTTTGCAAATCTTTGAGCACAATTGCTTTACTGTTTCAATATATTGTTGTGGTTTTATATAGTGCATTTACCTGTGTTAATACTTGTGATTTGTTGAACCTTTGTTCAGCTTTTTGTCCTCATGTTTAGCTTAATTTAACTTGATTTATTTGCCTCATTTTTATTTCTGTTTATGTAGTCTTAATTGAAATCAACAGACGCAGGGTAAAATACCTTAAATTAGTACAAATAGCCAATAAATCTGATTCTAGCTGATGTCAACAGAGTCCTGAAATAATGAAGAACGTCACTCACAAAATACATACTGTGAATGGTGGCTTTGTTTTGACCAGCTTTAAGAGACGGAAAGAATATTTTAGGGCATAATGTTCAGGTACAGTGGCCTGCTAAGTCAATAAACACAGGTTATTCAATTTAAAAATAAAATATACTCAACATACTAGCATACTATTTTGAATTGTGTTATTAGCTCTAAGAGAAAAGGTTATACAGTTAAGTCTGTTGTGTTTAATATGATCGGCTTATGCTTTTAGAAGACGTATGTATACAATTAATTACGAAATAATAATTCCTGATTTAGAAAGATAGTAAATGCTGACACCTAGTGACAAAAACAGAACCATTCTGTCCCCGGAACCTAAGTCTCCTAGCTGAGGCGATCTTCGGAGTTATTTATGAGACGGACCCCACTAGCCAATGCTAAGCGATGCTAGGCCTTCAGAAGCTAACACGTCTAATTAAACTCATTTATTTCAGTCTGCTCTGAAGTACTCATGTTATCTCGCAAGCAGAAACGCGTGTGGAGGTACGTGGAGGAGGGCAGCGTGCTGAAGCTGAAGTCGTACCTCCGGAGGCACCGGGACCTGGATGTGAACTTCTCCCACGGCCGGAGGGAGAGGAGCCCGCTGCACCTCGCCTGCTGCCTGGGAGAAGACGCTGCGCTGCGGCTGCTGCTCAGACACGGAGCCGATGTCCTCCAGAAGAACCGCAAAGGAGACACGGTGTTACACGTAGCCGTCAACAAGGCTCTGAAAAACAACAATACAGGTGAGGGAGACTCGGTGAAGATGCTGTGATTGACTTATATCATATATTTATAACTATATCTGTTTACCTCTATATTTAGTGCTTATAGGACATATAGCCTACCTTTACTACGTTCTGTTAACATACATCTATTATTTCTTATTGTTGGATGTAACCAAATTCATTTTTGTTATTTTTATTAATACTGTTACTACATGGTGTTACTTATTATTATTATTATTATTATTATTATTGTTTTTTATTATCCCTGTGTATGAGGCTGTAGCTTCACCCCAAATTGCTCCTGTGGCAATTTCCCACAATATTGAGTGTAGGCCTATGTAAGTAACTTTTGGCAAAAGTGTCTAACAAGTGACATGTAATGTAATTTAATGTGTACTATCTGTGTTTCTCTCTTATTCTTTTACTGCTATAACACCTGCATTTCCATACAGTGATCAATAAAGGTATATATCTTATCTTATGTACTTGAGAAAAGAAGATCCAATGTACTTAAGTAACATTTAGAGGTGAGCCTATTTTAACTTAACTACATTTATTTCACAGCTTTAGTTACTAGTTTATTTGCAGATGTAGTGTATTAAACAGCTATATTATGATGTGTGTGTATATAGCTTAAGCTACACTGCAGTCTGTAAAGTAATAATAATACTAATGCATTTTATTCATATAGGCACCTTTCAAGGCTCTCAAGGTCGCAGACTTGCCGTACAAGATACAAAAACACAAAACAAAAACTAAACACCAGCAGAAAATCAAGACAATATAATCAATAAGAACAGGGGTTTCTGAGGTGTCATGAGTAGTGATCAGGGTGGATATGCCAGTTTGAAGAGATATATTTTTAGACGTGATTTGAAAATCGAGAGAGAGTCAATATTCCGGATGTCCAGTGGGGAGGGAGTTCCAGAGGCGGGGTGCAGAGCGGCTGAAGGCTCTGGACCCCATGGTGGTTAAGCAGAAGGGTGGTGCAGTGAGGTGGATGGAAGCAGAAGGCCTAAGAGTGCAGGAGGGTGTGTTGATGTGCAGGAGGTCGGAGAGGTGCAGAGGAGTGAGGTTGTGGACAGCCTAATGCCCTAGCCACACGGAAACGGGTCGTATCCGCTACACTTCTATCATATACGGTTCGGCCACACGAGGCCGACAGGGAAACGCAGATAACAATAACGGGTCCCAAGGTGGGTAGATCTGCGGACGAAACGCTCTGGGGGGCCAAACGGCTCCGTGATTACGCCCTATAACGATCATTTCCTGATAACGAAAATACTGACGGGCTGTCAGGAGAGGGGGAGGAAAAGAGAGACTCCGTATATTATTCTTATATTATTATGTAGAGCCCTGGCCCCTGCCTCTCCCCACCTCTGCTGCTAAATCCACCGCGGAGAATAAACAGAAGGCAACCATGCATGCTCGTGATGTCTTCTTCGCTGCTTTTGGTGTATTTTGTGGCGGAAGTACAGCGCCACTTACTCTCCAGCGGGTCGAGCGGTCTCGTGTGGACGGACACGTTTCTGGTGCCGATTGCGTGTGGACGGAATACTTTTTTTATATCGTTTTCGTTACCGTCTCCGTGTGGCTCGGGTCTTAAAGGTGAGGAGCGGTCTAGGGCTGTGCGATTATGGCAAAAATCATAATCACGATTATTTGGTCAATAATTGATATCACGATTATTTTGACGATTATTCATTGACCATTTATTGAACTTTAAAACAAATAATATTTTACCAATAAACAAGATCAATAAATGTGTTGGAGCGCACTTCCAAAACCATACTAAACATATATTATTAATATGATACATACAAATAAATTAGACCAAAATAAATGAAATTAAATATGTTGCAGTGCACTGTCACAACCTACTGAAAACTCCTTAACATATAGCCAACATTTTGGTAAAACATATTCAACATATTCCACTCAGTTAAACGTTGAAGGCTGGCCAACCGTCATGGTCCAGAAGTAACAGGAAATAAATGTTGAACTACAATTTAAGACCAAATAAAAATGTTTAGGCCACCATGGCAAATGCTGGTAGGACTGCTCATGTCATCTCTTAAAGATTTTTTGCAAGAAATACCAGGCTGTTTACATGGTCTGGTTTCAGAGATGAGCGCAGGCAGGTGACAATATTGCCACCTGTACTGAAGACCCTCTCTGAAGAGGAACTTGTGGCAGTGCTGCCACATATGACACAGGAAAAAAAGAAAATACTCTGAACCCTTTCTTTGCCATTATATAAAAATAGTGTTGCTACAAAAGTATAAATTAGGCTTACTAATAAGACAACTCAGATCTGAAGCTACACAGTAATCTGCTGCAGCAACAGTGCAATAAAAAAGACAACATTAATAGAATCAAACCCATTTTTTGTTGCATTTTATTAGAGTATAAAAATAAATGCCTTTTAAAATAGGATGCAAGCAACACTAGTTTCTGAACTGATAGACTATAATCAATTTAAACAGAACAGATCTGAATGTTTGCATTCTTATACCATTTTGTACAATAATTATCATGAATAAATTCAAACAAACTAAAACTTACAGCAGATTAATAACGGTATCTAAATTGAGTTTTTATTATATCAAAAACCTGTTGAAATGCTGCTGTTATTTTTACTGTCCCACAAAAGCGCGTCGCAGCCTCCAGGAAAGCTTCTTTCACAACTTCGCCATCTTTGAAAGACTTCATGTGTTTCGCAAGAACGTGACTGACACGATAAGATGCTATGGTAGCAGCCTTGCTCTTGTTGTTGGGCCTGGTGGAAATGGACTGCTGTGCATTTAGCTGTCCTTTCAGGCCCCTCCCCTTTTGGGAGCGTAGGGCAGAATTAGGAGGGAATTCCGTCTCGTAGCGTTTGTGCACTGTTTTGAAATGCCGCTCCTAAATTACCCTTCTTCAATAAAGCCACGCTCGCATTGCAGATGAGACAGATGGACTTTGAATTGGAATAGATACAAAAATAATGATCCTCCCACTTGGAGTGAAAATTATATATTTTGGGCTTTTTTGCTTCTGCCATAATTGCGGTCTTGTGTGTGTGCGGACTGTCACTCCTGTTGACCATCCATGCTGTTGACACGGACAACGTCGGCGAACTAGTGCACTGCTCACCAGCCACGCCCGGACAGTGAGGCCGGCCAATCACAAAGCTTTGATGCGTTCAAGTGCATTATTCTGGCACGGGAACATTATGTTATAGGACATTAACGATAAAACAGAATATTGTTGTTCTATTTTTAGACACATCTCGCGATCGACTGGGAATCTCCCCGCGACCCTTCTTTTTAACTAGTTGCTGCTCTTGTTCTGACATCTTCGCTTGCGCTGAACACTCACAACACATGTCACTCCCACGTGACCGAGTGGGCTTTTAGGGAGGGGCTAAAGCGCACCCAGCAAAATAATCGTATTTTGTCAATTATGCTGTTTTCCTAATCGTCGCAAGCCATAATCGTAATCGCGATTAAAATACGATTAATTGCACAGCCCTAGAGCGGTCTCTTAAAATCGTTATGGTATTTGACAGGCAGCCGGTGAAGTTGCTGAAGAACAGGAGTGATGTGGTTAATGGAGGGGATTCTGGTGATGATGTGACGACAGAGTTTTGGACCAGTTGAAGTTTGTAGATGGACTTGAGAGGGAGACCAAAGAGAAGAGAGATGCGTGGAGGACGGGCGGAGGAGGTTGATGTTACGTATATGGAGATAAGCAGACCGAATGACATTACTGATGTGAGTTTTTAAGGAAAGTCTGCTGTCGAGCATGACAGCCAGACTCTTAACCTGAGGGGAGGGTGAGACTGAGGAGTTGTCGATGGAAATGGAGAAACTGTCAGGTTTGTGAGGGTGGATTTGGTTCCAATGAGGAGAACCTCAGATTTATCACTGTTACGTTTGAGGAAGTTGTAGGAGAACCAGGATTTGATTTCCTGTGTGATTTTCATTTTTCTATTTGTTTTTATTAAAATAATATGTTATGCATTGTTGGAGCCTAACATTCTGAAACTAGGGCTTTAATGTAATTGTTGTGTATATGATGACTAAGAATGTCAACCTAAATATCTTACATGTTTCCCTGCAGCGTATAAGGACCTAGTAGAGCCTCTCCAAAACAGTTGTCCAGAAGCTTTGGATACTCCCAACAATGCTGGAGTCACACCTCAAGACCTGCTGGACTGGAGGAAACAAACAAAGGTAAATTAGACATTTGGAACCATTTTATAGTGCTGTGTTTTGATAGTAGCTATTAAAAGTTGTCACAGATTTTTAAATAGCTTGTTTTTCCTGATCTAAAGCCCAAAATGCAAAGGTATCTTTCTTTATTGATACTTTCTATAACGCTCATGTGATTAATCTATTTTGGTTAGCAATTTATCCTTACATAATTTTCCCATGATAATTCAGTTTATTTGACAAAAATATATTCTCTCTGTGTTGATTTTCATAATATACACCAATGTATCTAATTGGTAATAAAGACAATTCAATGAAGCTGTATTAAATGTGTTATCCGATGTCTAAAGAGCCCAATGTTTGTTAGTTAAGGATCATTTTTACATATATGACCTTATATTCTTCAGGCTGCTGAAAACATGAGTCGTCCATCTGAAAAAGACCCCCAGAAGGAGTGGATCGAAAAGCTGTTTGGGGAATGCGTGGATGAGTTTCATGAAACCTTTGGTGTGTATGATGGTACATTCATGTCTTTCTTTAAGGCTGGATTTTATTCTAGCACTTTTGACTTGATCATAACACAGCTGTTCTTGATTCACAGCTGATGATTATCTTCCTGTCGATGATGATGAGGAAGACTTTGGGGACTGGGCTGACCGTATTAGAAGAGATTATTATGATAAGAAGATCGCTGAAACTCAGAGACTGGCAGCTTCGTCTTCTGGGTGGAAAAAGAAAAAGAAGAGTGATCAAGAGAGAGAGCAGGAGGCGCAGAGCCACAAGGAGCTGCACGAGAAGCTGCAGAGGGAACATGAAGAGTACCTGGCACGAGCCAAACGTAAAGAGGAAGAGACTAAACTGGGTAAAAAGCGCACGTACGATGAAAAGTGCGCGGCTACTTTTGATGGTGGCTCTTCATCTAAAGACACAAAGCTGAGCTACAGCGACATCCCCTGGCCGGCTCCACGAGGCACCGTGCAGGATATGCTGGATGTGATGCTGCACGGCGTGGACAGGAACGACGTGCCGGTGTTCCGTAAAATGCTCCTGAAGCAGCAAGTGCTGTGGCATCCTGACAAGTTTGCTCAGCGCTGTGAAGCTCGTTTAGAGGAGAAGGACAAACAGCGGATCCTGGATACAGTCACAGCGCTGTCGCAGGAGCTCAACAGTCTGGCACAGAGCCTCAAGTCTTAAAATGTTAACTTTATATATAATGAGCGTATTTTCTGGACAATAGAACTGTTGCATTAAAGCAGTGGTTCCCAAAGTGAGAGACCAGGAGGAGAAATGGTTATTAAAAAAAAAAAGATCATAATTTGAAAAATTATTGATTCAAAAATAGTGTGTGTGTGTGTGTGTGTGTGTGTGTGTGTGTGTGTGTGTGTGTGTGTGTGTGTGTGTGTGTGTGTGTGTGTGTGTGTGTGTGTGTGTGTGTGTGTGTGTGTGTGTGTGTGTGTGTGTGTGTGTGTGAAAAAAATAAAATATGATCATAATAAAAAATAAGACAATAAATGAAAAACAGGTATGAAATAAATATGACAGTAAAAACAGAATAAAGTTTAAAAGGGTGATTTGTAAAATATCCATAAAGAAAAAGTAAATCTGTCTACAGTTCTGTTTCATATGGGTGTTGAGAGAGGTATCCATAGCTCTCTTCATTTTGCTCTCAAAGTGCACCAGATTGATGCTTTTAACTTCAATATTTAAAAATAAATCTTCCCGTGGGAGCTTGCCCCCGGACCCCCCCTAGAGGAGTTCAACACACTACCTATTAAAAATAGCACTTTACACCTATATGCCTCGAGCCGTCATTGTAACTGTCACACTGTGTATATACGTGGGGATTGTTGCAGTAGAAAATTCCACTGCAGCGACCGATACATTAATGGGAAACCCTAAATGTTTGAGCACCCTCTATGAAACGTCAAGCTACCCCACAGCACCCCAAAATAAATATCTGGCACCGCCACTGAGCCTGACTATTTATGTTGGGGGGGGGGCCCCGACTTATTTTTTTTCTCCAAAGGGGGTGCCTGACAGAAAAAGTTTGAGAACCACTGCATTAAAGGGTTTTCATTCTCTTCCCCTAGCGTTGTGTTGTGGTATTATTTGTTGTTGGCACTGCTGTTGCAAAGACCACCAGATCACTTTCATTTTTCTCACAGACTCAACTTTCCCCGTCGGGTTGATGATAACACTTTTGTAACTGATTTCATATGAAGCCAAATGCCGGAACAGACCCAAGTTTCACTATTAGGTGTTGCCTTTGACACAGAAGCCCCCACATGACTTCTTATTTGGCATTGTGGTTGCCTCGTCTGTTTTGATGCGATGGTTCGAGATTAATTTAAATCACATTGTCATATTTCTCATTACTAATGCAATACAAGTTGGATTTTCTTCTGAACCACTGACCTTTATGCAAATGATTATGTGATGATTCCGAATATGCAAATAGGTGTCCGACGTTAGCCTCTTTCTTTGAAAAGAGTTGGGGACACTGCACAGGACACACTGCAGTTCTGCTTTCCACTGTTGTAAGTGCAACAGTCGTTTCCCTGCAGGGACGCGGGAAGTCAGTCAGAGTTGGGGGTGCGGTGGGGGGGAGGGGTGCTAGTGGTGCCTCACAGCTGCGAAATTGTGGCGCGCTACACTGTAGGTGCGCCGTGTTTGAGCTTCAGAGGAGGCTCCCTCCGAAAAATGAGGCCCCATCCGCGTGGGGCGGCCCTGTATAATAACTTCATATTAAATGCAGTCATTTGGTCTTTAGCTTGTGAGAGCAGTGCATTCATCGGTGTTCATTTTAATGCTGCCAGTTTGTTGACGGCCTGTGTGTTGATGGGACTTCTCATGCTCCCTAAATGTTTCCCCTGCCTTTCACCAGTTTTTAAACCCTGCTTTCACAAAACTCCCATCCCTGATCTTATCTGCACTGACGAGCTTCTTTTCTATAGCAGAGCAACAGAAGAAGCACACCGCATTATCACTTTCTCTTATAGTGAAGCTTTTTATAGACTGCTTACACTAAAATGCTAACTCAAAAATAGTAAGTCAAAATAAAACGTTTGTATTGATTTGTTTAGTGAACTTTTTGGCGTTGCAGTTACAATTCACCACCAACAGATAGGGGTGCTGCACCCCCCCCCCCCCCCCCCCCTTCCCGTTTCCCTGAGACCGGACCCAGCCTTGTCATAGAGGTAATTTTCTCTGGTAACTTTTTTTGGTAACTTTTGAAGTACTGTTACTAGAATACAAAGCATTCGTCAAAAGCTCCTGCAGCAGAAACCTATCTGTTAGTGCTATAGCCAAATTTAAGGAAGAGATTCCATCAATACTTAACTCGATAGCATGTCTGCATGTAAGGGAGGAAACTTATACAAAATGTACACCACCCCAAATTGATCATGTTGTTGATAGTGCTACAGATGCGCTGCGAATAAAATTGGACTCTGTTGCTCCTATGAAAAAGAAGAAAATAAAACAACATAGATTAGCTCCATGGCATAATGCCGAAACCCGCAAAATAAAGCAAAAGTCGAGACAACTTGAAAAGATATGCGTTCCACTAAACTTGAAGAATCTCGTTTAATTTGGCATATTACTCTCAATGAATATAAGAAAGCACTGCGTAAAGCGAGAGCAGCCTACTACTCTTCATTAATAGATGAGAATAAGAAGAATGCAAGATTTCTTTTCAGCACTGTAGCCAGGCTGACAGAGAGCCATAGCTCGATTGAGCCTTCTATTCCCATAGCACTCAGTAGTAATGATTTTATGTGCTTTTGTAATGATAAAATGGTTACTCTTAGAAACAAAATCAATGACCTCTTGCCTGTGACCAGTATAGTGTTATCAACAGCTCCCGGGAATGTAAGCTCTAATATTACACTAGATAGTAAACTAGAATGCGTTTCAGCCATAAACCTTGAACAATTAAATTCAATGATTCTTTCTTCTAAAGATATACTAGTTAATGGATGGCATTAATTTGGCCTCCAGTGAGACTGTAAGGAATCTTGGTGTTATATTTGATCAGGATTTATCCTTTAACGCCCACATAAAATCAATCTCAAGGACCGCCTACTTCCATCTACGCAACATTGCCAAAATTAGGCATATCTTGCCTCAAAACAATGCAGAGAAACTAGTCCATGCATTTGTTACTTCGAGGCTGGATTATTGTAACTCCTTATTATCAGGGTGTACCAATAAGTCAGTCAAGTCGCTTCAGCTGATTCAAAATGCTGCAGCATGTGTACTAACTAGAGTTAGGAAAAGGGACCACATTACTGTTCTGGCTGCCTTTCACTGGCTCCCTATAGAACACATGAATTTAAAATTCTTCTTCTCGCCTACAAAGCCCTTAATGGGCAGGCGCTATCTTACCTTAAAGAACTCATTATACCCTACTGTCCTACTAGGGCATTGCGTTCCAAGAATGCAGGGTTGTTGGTTGTTCCTATACTCTCTAAAAAAGTACAATGGGAGCCAGAGCCTTTTCTTATCAAGCTCCACAGATGGTGTTATTTTTCTATTGCTGTTTCATTGTGCTAACATCAATTACTTCATATGGTTTGGCAAGCACAAGTGTGTGTTGCTACTTTAATGTAAAAGAACCAAAACATTCCTAAAACAATGTTTTGGTCATCAGACATTGATCTAGTGAACTTCATACAGATATACAGCGCCATGATGTAAATTTCGCCCGGGGGGAAAACACAAATCAGCGGGAGCTTGTTAGCATTAATGCAAATGAGAGATAATAATTCAGGAGGCTTCAGGTTTTACACACCTGTTCAGTAGGCTACAATCCCAGACTGACCAGGGAGCAGTTGAGGGCTATGGGCCTTGCTCAAGGGCAAACTAATGGTGGGAAAAATGCTCTGATCTTGCCAGCCTGGAGATCGAACTGGCAACCTTCTGGTTCCAAGATTTCTCCTTGCACCTTTAGCTGACTAAACACAGCTGTGAACCCCCTGGATTAAATCATTTGAGATGCTCCTCCCATTTGAATACTGAGAAATAGCATCCCATTGTTAAATGCCTGATTTCAATTAAATAAAATGAACCCCAACCATCTAATCCCAAGTAACATTTGTGTTGAGTCATGGTGGTTTATAGTAGCTATGTAACGGCATGTAGCCAGAGTCTCATCAATAATAATATAATTTAATAACTTTATGTAATTATTCATTACATCGTAAGATTTGTTTTATTGACACCAAAAGAAACAAATAATAATAAAACACCATAAAGGATTTCACACACAAAGAAGTACAGATGGTCGGCCCTCTTTCAGTGACGGAACAGAATAAGAAAATGCGGTGGTTGCCAGGTTTGCGAGATAACCCCCCTTTTAAAAACGTTCCATTTCGAGACAAAGGGATTAACTCAATTGTTTAAAAGAAATATGAAAATAGACCTTTATTTATAACTATTGAAAATGGAAGATATAATGGCAAAACTGCTAAAATTAAGTTCCAATAAAACTTTTGAGACATTAAACATTTCAATGATACAAAAGTTAGGATGATTACAATTAAATGTTATTGTTCATCATTTGTTGACTACAGTCTCCTCGTCCCAAAAGCCTTTCGTGCAGGCTTTAAATGTATTCTTGAGCTGCATTTTCCTAAGCAAATAGGCCTATATATTTTAGTAAAGCAAATACACGCTGTTCATACAGCAGGGTGTTAAATACCTGCAGTTTTAATGTCAACACAAGGCAAACGTAAGTAAAATAACATTTACAAGCAAAAATTATATACTTTGTCGATTCAAAATGCTGCAGCACGTGTATTAACTAGAGTTATGAAAAGGGACCACATTACTCCTGTTCTGGCTGCCTTTCACTGGCTCCCTATAGAACACATGAATTTAAAATTCTTCTTCTCGCCTACAAAGCCCTTAATGGGCAGGCGCCATCTTACCTTAAAGAACTCATTATACCCTACTGTCCTACTAGGCATTGCGTTCCAAGAATGCACGGTTGTTGGTTGTTCCTAGAGTCTCTAAAATGTACAATGGGAGCCAGAGCCTTTTCTTATCAAGCTCCACATTTGTTGAATCAGATTCCAGTTTGTGTTCGGGCGGCAGACAGCCTATCCGTTTTTAAGAGTACGCTTAAGACCTTCCTTTTTGATAAAGCTAGTGATAAAATAAAATAATCTAATAAGAGTGCATTGACGTAGATACGTTGTGCCTCTTCACCTATACATTTGAGTTCTTACTCTTTCATTTCAATCCTAAAAACTTAGATCTTATATTTAAAACTTTATCCAAAAACGTTCCCCTCTCTGACCTCTCGAGGTTCTATTAGAGGGTAACAGGTTGCAGAGAAGGCCTAGCCCGGCCGGGGAGTGTGGAACGTAGT